AGAAAAGGAATGCCGGAGAGCGAGAGTGAGAGTGGGTGGCCGGCTGGAGAAAAAGAGAAGGGAAGGTGGCCGGTGGTGAGGAAAACAAAGGAGAGAGAGAAGAGAAAAAGAAAGAAAGAAAGAAAGAAAGAGAGAGAAGTCTTGGGGGTTCCGCGGGGGAAAGGAAAGAAAAAAAAAAGGGGAAGAGAGAGAAAAAAGAAAAGAAAGAAAAGAAAAGAAAAAAAGAAAAAAAATATATTAAATGGTATTTAGAGGAAAAAGAAAAGTAGGTGTATTTTTAAAATTTTTAGGGGGAAATTGTAAAAATTGAAAGTAATTAAAATTTTGTGGAATAACTTAAAATTTTAATGTTAAGAAAATCTTAATAACATGATTAATTGAGAACATCAATATTAAGTAAAATAATATATCACAATTAACATAGTTAAACCTGTTTAATTCTTTCGGTTGTTATATGTAACAGTTTTAATATTTATGGTAAAAATCAATCAAGCCTTAAAAATTATGACATTGTCTAAATGTCTCAAAAAAATGAAAACCTTAAAGTTCAGGGCAAAAGCAAAAAGTGTTAAAAATCTAAAATAAAAAAGCAAGTTTTTGATTTGCGTAAGCATCCAAAAGAATTTTTTAAACTGGATTGTTTTGACAGTTGAAAAAGTTTTAGACATAACCGAACGATTTCTAATAATAGGACCAAATCGGACCAAACCATTTCAAAACAATCTAGTTTCATTTATTTGCGGTTTGGTCCATTTCTTGAAAGTTTTTTTTTTTTCTTTATGTTATTAGATATATATTTCATATTTCTTAAAATCTAAATAAAAGTTAAATACAACAAATGAACAAATCTTACAGTACATCCACTAAAAATAGCATTTATAAGGATAAAAAAACCTAAAAAAAAAAAAAGAATAAAGTTAATATTTCTTATTTATTAATATGTTTATATAAATTAGTACAATCTGGTTTGAACTGTTTATAAAATTTTCTAAACTAGACCAGACCGTTTCTAAAACGGTTTAGTTTGGTTTTAGATTCCGACAAATAATTTTGACATGAAATCAAATTGGCAGTCTAAAAACCACCAGATTAATCCGATCTAGAGATTTTAAGAAAACAAGAAACAGTCCTTTCATTGATAGAAGTTTCGTTGAAACTTGTATACTAACAATTTGGCAACATCAAGGAAACTTCATATGGCCTCATACTTAAACTATAAATAGGCCTTCAATGGAAGGCAAGAGAGCTACCGAAGTTTGTAAGAGAAATAAAAGAAAAAGGAGTAAATAAAAATTGATAGAAGAAGTGTTTTGAGAGAAAAGAAAGAGTGCATATTTTATAATAGTATTTCTCTATATTTGTCTTTTTACTTTACTATTTATTTACGTTACTTATACAATAGTATATATATTACCCAATTTATAACACACCATGTAAAACACATGCCGTTTCTTGTGGCTCAGGAAAAATGACACGTCGGTTTGGTGTTAGACTATATAGCAATAGCAAGTTAGCAACATGGTACAACAACATGAAGACTTTGTTTAGAATTAATTTCGTTTTTGTTTTTCACGTTTTTTAAAAAAGAAAAGATAAAAATGTTTTTAAAATAACGTTTAACGTAATAAAGATAAAAAATAAAAATAAAAATAATTTTTTAGTTTAGTATAAAATGAGAGAGAAATGAAAACGACTTCTAGTCGTTTTTCATTTTGTTTTTATTTCCTCCTCTCTCGAGTAGCAGAAAGAGACATTAGTAAGTTTTTTTACACTGAAAATAATCTCTTGATAAAACTACTAAACGCATTTTCAAAAATGATTTTTGTCTGAGATTGAAAATGTTTTCAATTTCATTTTCAAAATCATTTTAAAACGAGTTCCAAACACGCCGACGTTTCCCCAATCGTTTTCAACTAAGGAAAGCAGAAAACGTCAACACAACTGCCCAAAGAAAAGTAAGATGTGTTAAACAAACTCTCTTTCATCACAAAAATCAAAATACAGGAGATTCTGTCCTTGGTCATTCTGATATACACAAACACGACAACTGATCGAGTTTAGTGATGAAACAGTCAATCAATTCGCGCTTGAGCCGTCTCAAAACCAAATCGTACTAATCCTATGCGTTGGGGTGATCCGGTAAGCGTTTGAGATCCATTTCAACTTGGTGAATTGTCCATTGCATGGTTTCCAATTTCTGCAAGGAAACTTTTGCTATTAAAAACTTTACTGAGGAATCAAGTGAAGAACGACATTCTTATGTACTGAGATGTACCTTCACAATGTCGCGATACTGCTTTGCTATATTGTCGAAGTGAGGATCGACACCTTGGTACTCGCGAAGACGTGTCACCTGGGGAAGCAAGTCGATCATGAATTAGCGAAGAAAGTCAAGAACATGCGAGGCAGCAAGAAAAACATATACAATTGACGATGATACTTAATAAAGTTGTGTGCATGCCATAAAAGGAGAGTTTGCTCAACATATCTCTTTGCAGCTGAAGAGAACTATTGTTAGTCAGCTTTTTGGAAGACCAAATACTCGAGCACTTATAACTGATAAGAATTTGGTTTTATATGAAAATACTTCATACGCTAACAGACTGTTTTAACTACTGTAAAAATAATCCAACTATTTGCAATTGCCAAGAATGCCCTTCATCACACATCAGCTGGATTATTTGTTCTATAGCTATGCATGCTAAAAATGAAACAACTCGGGAAAAAAACGAAATAAGAATTATAATTTAGAACTAGAAACTAATTAGTCTACGGAGTCAACTTAAGGAGCATACCGCTTTGTTATATGCAATAGAAGCTTCTTCTGTAGCCTCACCAAGATACTTCCTGGTAATCAGTACGGACAAGAAAAGATATTAACTTCGGGACAAAAACAACGGATGCACTCAAAAGGGTATTGCTAATAATTACCTTATTTTATGTAGAGCTGGTATTGATTCCTGAGTGTATGTTTCAAGAAGAAGAACATGCTCCAGAACGCTGAGAGATTGTGGTCAAGTACACTAATTATGAGAAAGTGAGTCCGGGCAGAACTAACTTATAGCTAGCGTTTAAAATGTTATAGTTTCTATTTATACATGTGTCTACTACATAAACCCCATTATTCACAAATTAGTGGGCGACAAAGAAAAACAATCAAAATAGAAAAATGGGGTAGCAAACCTTAATTTCGCACTCATTGTCTCGCACCTTTTGCAGAGCCATGTTTTTTGCAGATCATCCTATATAGTTTTAAGACATATCAAGTCCTCCGAACTCCAAAAGGAGACAAATTTTCAGAACCATAAGAGAGGGTTCTCAAAGAATTTAAGCACACAATTAATGTTAACGATCAAAATCACCATCAATCACCAGTAAGAAAGTAGAAGGCTTACATATTTATGTTGATGTTGCAACTTCAAATCTTTCACTAGTTTAATAAGTACACCTAATATCTGCTCCAAGACCTAATTGGCACAACACGGTTTTACAGATCACGGATCGTTAGAAACCACATATCAGGCAAAGAATGCGCTAGGGAAAG